TAGCGAGGCAAAGNGATAACTTTGAAGCTGACAAGAATTAAGTGTGCGAAACAAATACCTTGACAACATTAGCAGCACAAGCAAGTGGGAGAAAGAGGTGTGGAACAGCAGCAGTAGCCAACTCTACCCCAGCACCCAGCTCCATTAAAAGATCCCCAGCAAACCATAACTGCAAGTTAGAGTGAGCTAGAAGGTGAGAGTAAAGGAAGCAGAGCTTTTGTGAAGTTATGGAATAAGTACCTGTTTCAAATCATAATCAAATTTCTTTCCTTGTCGCACAAAAAGCATTTTTCCAACACGCCCTGCACCATCCTGCAGAATGAAGCCATGTGATGGGAGGGTTGTGAAACAGTTTAGATAAGAATTTTCCAATTGTAATGCAAAGATTGATATGGCGTAGTAATGAGAAGAAAGTAAACCTTGAGAATCCACTTGATGGCAACAGCAGCAGAAGCAGAACTGTTTCTGGAGGCTCCAACAGAATTGATGGCAAAGTTTATCAGCTTCTGTCTCTGCATCTTCTTCATCAGAGTGATCATGAAAAGACCCACTCACAGTTTTCTAAGCTTCTCCTCTTGCCTCAGGTTTATTGGCTGACACTGAACTATCAGCTGACAGATTCTCTTTGCAGATTAGAGCAACACAAAATGAACATTAGTATCAGCTTATTACAGAGAACAAATGGAGTCAAATCAAAGAGACCAGCACATATACCGCAGATTGAGGACTGTGCATCGAGAAAAAGTCCATGTCCAATCAAGCTCTCAGACAACAAAAGATTGTCTCTTTGCCTCTTCCTCAGTTTTATCAGTGGTAGGGGATGATGCAGGAACCCCAAATCTGCGTAAAATAAAAAGAGAGTAAGAAACTTCTTTTTTTTTGCATTTGCCCCTCAAATCAGCTTCTGATTACCCAAATTCAACCCTAAATCTCATAGCACAAAGAAACCCTAGCCCTAAATTCATCCCCAAATACGACAGAAACCCTAATCTAGAAATAGGACAGAAATCAACTAATAAACTCAGGAAAAATGAAATCAAACCTCTGATTAGACGAAAGGATCTCCTCGACGCTTCTCTTCTTCGGTTAACTTCACAGAAACCCCAAACAGATACATCCCCAGAAGAAGAAGATGCGTTGATCGGCATCTTGATCTCCTCGGCGAATCCTCGGCCAAATCCTCGGCCAAATCGTCGGCGA